TTTTTTTTTTTTTTGAAGGAAGAAAAGCGAAGCAAAAAAGAAAGGCAATGAAAATCCGCTCGTGGCTGAGCACTCCGACAAGCGGATCAGAACCGTGCCGGTTCGTCGCTGCGGTTCTGGGATGATTGGGATTATGGAAACCCCTTCTCGGTGAAGGGCTGTGCGTGTCACTGCCTGACCGTGTCCCTGTCCCTGTCCCTGTCCCTGTCCCCTCACGCCGCCAGAGGGCGCCCGTGCTCCACTCTACCTCCGGAGCCGCGCCCGCTGCCTGCGCCCCTTTCCGCGTCCGCGCAGCGCTCCGCACCCTGTCAGGGTAGCCGCGCTCTGGCTCCGGCCCCGCGGATGCGGACGGGAGTGGCGCTGCCTGCGGGCCGCTGCGACCTTGTGGAGCTGCGGTAGTCTCGGCCGCCCCTCCGCGCGAAGCCGCGCAGGGCTGAGTGGGGCTCCGGTGCCACCTCTGCAGCCCCTGCCGCTATGGGCGTCCTCTGCTGTGTTTTCCTCATAGCAGCGGAGATCCGCGCGCTCCAACACCCGAGAGTGAGAGATGCGTTTGGTCACCGCGGGGGGACAGCTCCGTGCCCTCCATCCCCGAAGAGGGATCGCTGCTCCCGAGGGGGCCGTGCTGGGCCGTGCTGAGCCGGGCCGTGCTGAGCCGGGCCGTGCTGTCACGATGCGGCTGTGGGCGCCCAGCCGCACGCTCACCGGGCCTCCAGCAAGGCCCGGACCGTGTCCCCAGCGTGCATCGAGACGCCACGTGAGGGGCAAGGGTAGTTTCCGAGACAAAGGGAGAGCCGGTGGTGGGGGTGGATTGGGATGCGGGCTGTGATGGGGCAGGGGCCTGAGATGGCTGTTATGGAACCACAACGTTGTTGTCAGTTCGCACTAGACGGTCACGCGTGGCTCCGACAGGCCAGTCTAGTATTCCACCTCCATTTTCCGTCTGTTCACATCAGGGTGGACTCTGGCTGCTGGGGGTGTCTGCCCTCAAAAGCTGCTCCCGCTTCAGGAAAAGCGGTTCTCCGGGAACCTCAGCGGGGACCGGAGAACGGAGACTGTGCTTCGCAGAGCGCTGGGAGCGGGACCGTGCAGTCCTTCCTGAGCAGCCTTCCCCCGTCCTGGAGCCCAACGGGCAGCGCCTTCCTCCCTTCCTCCCATTCTTTCCTTCCTTCCTCCATGCCCGTGAGTGCGCTCGCTGCCCCTTTCGCCCAGCGGCCCCGCACTGCTGCCTTCGCACCCGCCCGCCCTTCTTCCTCCCCCTCCCTGCCTCGCTAATGACGTCCACCAAGGGTGAAATGATGGAAAGTATATTCATGGGCATGATTTCCATTAAGTGTCAATTAACCTGGGGCCTCAGCCATGCGTGCACGGCGTCAAGGGTAAATGTGCATCTCATTTCCCAGCGCTCCACTCGCCCGCGAGGAAATGATCCGCAGGGCCCCGGCCCCACGAGCCGCCGCCCGCCCTCCCCTCCCCCCGGACGCCCTCCGGACGCCCCCGGCCCCGCGCACCGGGCGGCTGCTCCCTGCGGGTTCTCTCCGGCCGCGGCTACGGGCCGGCCCCGGGCAACGCGCCCGCGGTTATCGCGCGGATCTGCGCGGCCTCGCCCGCGCGGCGGGGGTTCGGCGGCTCCCGGCGGGGGGAGCGGGGGCGCCGCGGCCGGGGTGGATCCGGGCAGGGTTGGGCCGGGTTTTTTCTTGCCTGAGGAGCGGCACATGTAAACTGAAGCCAAAAGTCCCCCCTGAGCTCATGAGCGTGTGTGTGTGTGTGTGTGTGTGTGTGCGTGCGCGGGCTGCTGTGTGCCTAATAGGAAATAGTAAAAGCAGTGAGGCAGGTCATTTTGGGAGCGATTATATTCCAGCCCCGGTCACCGCGCACACGGAGAGCAGGAGAGGGGAGCGCACAGGGCGCGGCGGCGGCGGCACCGGGAGAGAAGCGGAGAGGCACCGGCGGCGGCACCGGGGGGAGCAGCGCCCCGTGCCCGCTCCTCGCCCGCCGCTGCCCCCTCCCCGATGAGCTCCTACTTTGTCAACCCGCTCTACTCCAAATACAAGGCGGCGGCGGCGGCGGCGGCGGCGGTGGCGGCTGGGGAGCCTCTGCCCGCCCCGTACTACGACTGTCACTTCGCGCCCGAGGTGAGCGGCCGCCACGCCGCAGCCGCCGCTGCTCTGCTCTACGGGACCGGCTTCCCGCAGCCCGGCGGGGCGGGGGGCGGCGGCGGAGCGGACTTTTACCATCCGGCCGGGGGGAGCCCCGCGGCCGCCTACCAGCCGCCTCCTCCTCCCCCCGCCGCGCCTCCGCCTCCTGCCCCCTGCAGCGGGGTTACCTGTCACGGGGAGCCCGCTAAATTTTACGGATACGATAACTTACAGAGACAGCAGATTTTTACGACACAGCAAGAGGCCGAGCTGGTACAATATCCTGACTGTAAATCGTCCAGTGCTAATATTGGCGAGGAACCAGACCACTTAAATCAGAGCTCGTCTCCTGCTCAAATGTTTCCCTGGATGAGACCGCAAGGTTGGACGCAGTCGGCATTCGCTTCCATCTCACGTCTGAGTTCGAAACTTTATTTTCCTCCTCCCGCTCCTCTCTCCCCTCTCCCTCCGTTCCTCTCGTCTGCGCCTCTCGCTGCGTTCCCGCACCGCTCTTGCTAACGGAACTGCGGGAGGACTGCGGGGGGGGGGGGGGGATTGGGGGGCCTGCGGAGCTGCCGGGGCCAGGTCGCCGGGGGGGAGAGCGGGGCCGGGGGCGGTCACCAGGTGCTGCCGTGCTCCCGCAAACTGCGGCGCCGGGGAGCCGCGCCTAACGCTGAGGCCGCAGCCTCACTCACTCGCGCTGCTCTGCGCTCCCCGCGCTCCCTTTTCCTCCTCTCCCCCCGAGGGATGTGCCTAGGGCCCCGGGCGCCGCGGAAGCGTTGTTCCGAGCCGCCCCGACCTCCGTGTTTTTGTTTCAAACAGCAGCGCCCGGGAGGAGGAGAGGGCGGCAGACGTACAGCCGCTTCCAGACGCTGGAGCTGGAGAAGGAGTTTCTCTTTAACCCCTATCTGACCAGGAAGAGACGAATCGAGGTGTCCCACGCCCTAGGACTCACCGAGCGACAGGTAAAGATCTGGTTTCAGAACAGGAGGATGAAGTGGAAAAAGGAGAACAACAAGGACAAATTCCCCGCTTCCAAGCAGGAGGGAAAGGAAGGGGAGGCCAAAAAGGAAACACATGATCTGGAAGACGACAGAGCCGAAAGCCACACGAATTAAATTAATTTTGCCCTAAAAGCCTTTGTGAAAGGCCATCAGAAACGAGGAGCCCACGGCCGCCGCTCCGGCCCGTCCCCGCCGTGTGCGTCCCGCGGGGTCGCGTCCCGCCCCACTGCGTGCTGTGTGGGTTTGGGTTTGGGTCTAACTGCATCCGGAGCGATCTCCAGATGTCCGCTCGTCTGCTCCTCCTGGAAATCTGATAGCGAGTTCGCAGCAATACATTTCTAATGATATATATATATATATTATATAGATATAGATACTATTTTTTTTCTTGCAATATTGAAAGGCAGTGATTGTGACATACACTTCCTAATGATAAACGCCATTAAGCGAGACATGTACCAATGCTTTATTAATCAAACAAGTGCACTTGTGCTATTTTAATTCTTGTTATTTTCTAATCTCGAATAAATTAAATAAATTTAATACATTTTGAAGAGCAAATCTTAGAAATATATGAAACTTTCTACTATTGATTTAAATAAACCAAAATTATTGAAATATAAGTTATATCTGTTTCCTGACATCCTTTCTGTAATCTGCTTCTCCGATAAAGTCTTGGACCTCCACATCTCTCTGCTCCGTTCCTAGCTTCTATTTGGTCGAGGGGTATCTCGAAATGGCCCACTTGAGACAAAATCTGAGGGGAGTCCCCGGCCCCGGCCGGGTCTCGATGCACCCTGACAAGGGGACGCGGGGCATCACAGGGCTCCCTGACCGAGCTTCCTCCGTGGGAGAGCCCCGGCTCCCCGGCGCTGGGACATGTGTGCCTGGGCTTCGCTGCTTTTTTCCTGTATCCTCACCTAGGGGCTCTGCCGCGGCCCTATCGTGCAGTGCTCCCCGCTCTGCGGGTCCATGAGCGCCATGAGGCTCCAGCCTCCCCCACGGATCTCGGATCTCAAAGTGGCTCGTGCTCTCAAATCACGTATGCATACAGAAAAGGGCGTTTCAGCAATAAATATCTCGGCACTCTTTCGGGGCAATTTTCCAAACTACCGGGCAGGGCGACGGGGGCAGCCCGATTAGGGGCAGCGTGCACACGGTATGAAGCCTTACAAAAAATTTCTGCGCATTTTTTTCCCCGTTCTCACACCTCCAATGCGCGATGTTCGCTGAAGTCCCCGCAGGATGTGGTGCCGTGAATGCGACCAATTCGACTCCCATTATGTGCCCCTGAAAGGAACGGAGCTGCCGTCGGATAGGGATCCTTTCGGCCCCTTCGGTCCTCCCGAAGCCGCTCGCGAAGGCCCAGAGATGTGCCGGGGCTTCGTCCCGCAGCCCCACGGCCGGGAGCGGCCCGACAGGAGGGGACGGCCGCGCTGAAGCCGTGCTCGGTACGCGGGGTGCGTTCGTGCAGTTTCCCCTCTCCTTCCAGCCCGCAGCCAGGTTCGGCTCAGTCCCTGCGAAGCTCCAGCTCCGGAGGGAGGCAGAATCGAGCGGAGCCATTGTTCTGATTTATTTTAATCACGTAACTGGTTAAAGCTTCCAAATGCGTGGAAACTGCGGCAAAGTGGAGAAGGCACCATTTTGCTGCACGGATTTGCATATACGCAGCGGTGCCCGGGTGGCCGGGAGCGATGCGGCTCCGGGGCGCGACTGCAGCCCCGCACCGGGCCTTCTCCTGCCCCGGCCCCGGGAAGCGCGTACCGGAGCCGTCACGGCCCGGCGGAGAATTTCCTGAGCCGGTGTTCGTCCGGGAAAGAGCCGCTGCCGACGTTGTTTTAATTTCCAGACAAAGAAAATGAAATTAAAATATTCCTGACGAAGTTTCCGTTAGCGTTGCCCTCCCAGGGCCGACTGGGAAAGCAGCCACGCACACAAACCAGCGCCCCGGTGCGCACAGCGTTTGCAAAAGTCCTAACGGGGAACTTCCCTCTCCCTCTTCCCACCTCCCCCCCCGTTTTTTTTTTTTTTTTATCTTTTTTTTTTTTTTTTTTTCTTTTTTTTTTTAATTAGGGAAAAAAAAATAAATCCTGTTGTGTACTTATGAAGGTATTTCCCGCCCGTAGCTGGCAGCTCAATCTCCCCTTCGCTTTCGTTTGCAGTCCTGTTCAGGAAAAGCGAAGTGAGGCAGCGGTTGCTCAATGCGTTTTCGGCGGCCGCGGGGCCGGGAGGGAACGCCGCACCGTGCGGGGAGAGGCCGGAGCTGCGCCGGGCCGCGGGAGTTGGCGTTGGCTCGGCCCAGCGGGTGCCTCATCCGAGGGTGTGTGATCCCCTGCAGCGGTGTGACACAGACCCCACATTATTAGCGCAGTTTGGTTTTTTTTTGTTAGCTTTGTTTTTATTTTCTTTCCCGGCGGGTTCGATCAACACGTAAGGTACAGACAGAGAGCTCTTGCTCTTCTCTGAACAGAAATCGAGCGAGAGCCGCGATTTTCGTTCCTCGCCCTCCGTGACACGGGGTAGCCGTAGTCTTTTCCGAGAGCTTGTTGAACTCCCGGATCCGGAGCCACGCGGATGCTTCGCGCAGGAGCTCGACGGCAGCGCGACCTGCGGGACCCCGAACTGCGGGGCGCGGTCCGGCATCTGCTCGGCTCGGGCTGCCTTTGGGCCATCAATGGTTTCGGCTTCAGTAGCGGGCGCTATAGGAAACAAGTTTTCTCGTAGGGCCCGGCTGTGGGTAACGCGGTCCAAAGCCCCTTTCGTTAAGGCAAGGAGTGAACCCACGGGCACAGCGCCGAGTGGCCATTAAGCGGGGTACCCCCACCCCGAGTGCGGCTCAGCGCTCTGCTCTCTCCGGAGCTCCGCGCCCGCGGGGCCCCAACAGCTGCTCGGAGCGCGCAGGCCGCGGGGGCAGAGAGTGAAAAACACGAGCACAGCGCGCAGGCGAAAGAAACATGGCGCTGGGAAGCAGTATGTGCAAAATCCGCAAGGAATTGCAGTAAATTCCTTTTTGTTTGAAGAAAATTTACAACTTGGTAATAGACCTTTTTATGACCTATTTGGGCTCGTCATTGGCTGCGGCTGGTCATGTGCAGGCAGCGAGTGCTTTCATGGCCTTTTCCTGATTTCCCTGGCGAATTTCCCCCTGCATTCTGCCTTCAGAGAGTCTCAGCCCCTCTTTTCCTAACCTTTGTCTGGCTGAGGTGTATGGCAGCCGCCGCGATGTTGGCGGAGCTCTCCCCGAACCCCGCTGCTCCCCGGCTCCGCGACGCCTCTCCTCCCGCGGCGCTGCGCGGAGCCGTTCGCAGCTGCCCCCCGGATTGCTACGCGGGCGCAAAATGGATTACAGCGATCGTCCCCTGCTCTTCGGCAAGCGGGCGCTGCCGCCCACCGGTAAGCGTTTGGCTACCGCCAGCACCGCGCTCCCGCGGGCGGAGCGCCGGCCCCACTCGGTCACCTGTCCCTCGGAGCACCCAGCGCTGTGCGGTGCAGCCGCGGGACTGTTAGCGCGGCCGCTTTCGGGGCTGCCGTTGCGCCGGCTCTCGGTGCGGTTAGCGTGGATGCAGACTGCCGCTCGGGGCGGCGCGGAGGAGGCTGCGGAGCGAGCCCCGGCCCCGCGCACAGCGGCGGAAGGCTGAGGGTCTGGGCGCAGAGACACTGCGGTTCTCCCGCTAAGCACCCCTTCCTCGTGGTTTGGTTTTCCCGCAGGCTGAAGTGCTGCGCCGTGTTTGCGCTCCGCGTTTCCCCGTAGCGGAAGGGCGCTCGCGTAACTTCACACCTAACAGGTGTCTGTGCGGCAGCGCCGGGGGCGGAGGGCGCGGGCGGCCCCGGAGAGCCGATCCCCGTCCTGCCCCGGCAGCCCCCGCCCGGCCCATGATCCCGCAGCCGCGGGCGCGCCCGGCCCGCAGGGCACAGCGGGAGGAACCGGGCCCGGCTGCTCCCGGCGGGGCGGCCACGAGAGGAGAAGCGGAGGCGCGGTCGTGCAACCGGGCGAGAGCGCGGCGAGTGGGCAGCCCGGCTGGCTAAATCGTGGGCGAGCACTCGATAAAATGGGTTTGGTTTGAAATGTGCAGGGGAGATAGAACGATCACGTTGACATTATCCACATTGCCTGCATACGCGTGTAGATCCTGTACCGCATTGCTTATATACGGGTGTACATACCCTGATCTACATTGCCTATGTGTGTGTATGTACTTGTCTACACCTCTGTTTCTCTCTATAGAACATGCTTGTAAATATATTATTTCACAATGTGTGTATCTATGCTGTATATCTCCTCCGCACTTTCAAAACACGCAATCGGAAGCCGCTGTGCTGCTTTGGGTGCTGCTGGCGTCGCTCAGGGACGGAAATGCACCGTGCCACTGCACTGCGGGAATTCACCACGTCGTCATTTCCCTCAAAAGCAGCCACACATTTAGCGGCGGAGCAAAATGCCGCAATTAAACCGGGCCCGGGGAGGGTCTGCGGGTGCGGGACGCATCCCTGTACGTGTTGGGGAGGCACAGAGGGATCCTTTTGTCAGCCACCCGGCGCCCGCAGCCCGCGGATCCGCGCCGCCCCCGTGCTGGGACTATTTGGGAGGAACCGCTTGCAGTGTTGAAACACTCTGGGAAAGTCGGAAAGTGTGTCGTGTTGCGTTAGGTTTTGCTCTCAGAGCCCCTCCTGGTCGGCAGGGTAATTATAGCTGCTTCGTAATAAATCTCGGCCACAATTTCGGAAGATCTCGTCCTTGAGGTGTTTTCACATGATTCGTAGCCTGCGGGCAAATAAGACAACAAACGCAGGATGTTCGAACGGGTTCTGCTGAGCGTGTGTCCATATGTCGACAAACACACAGACACAGATGCATTTACGATCCCACTGCTGTATGTGGGAGGTCAGCATTTTTTCCTCCTAACCGGCTCCTTCCTTCCTTCCTTTCTTCTCTCCTTTTTCTTTTTTCTTTTTTTTTTTTTTCTCCTTTCATTCGTTTCATTGACATTAACGCACACATACGTATGTGTATTTCCTTAAATATACCTATGTGTGTCCTTTCACAACAAACTCTTTTAGCACGCCTGTATGTACGCAGGGCACCTTCGGGGACCGCACGGTTATGCACGTTTCTGTACCTACAGAGCGCCTGTAGCCGTGTGGCTGTGTTGGTGCGTTGAAATGAGTGCAATTCCGATTTCACACCCAACATTCTCACACCTGCTTCATTTTCCGACGTGTGTAACAGAATTTATGAGTCATTAAAAAAAAAGAAAAAAGGAAACAGCCGATCTCTAACCTATGCTTTACTGACGTAAGAGCTATTTAAAAAAACAACAACAACAAAATATGACCTCCAGGCAATGGCAGCTGGTTCTGCAGGCGGCACCCAGGTACAACCGGCAGCTGCACCACGGGGCTCTGCCCAGGCCGGGCCGGGCCCCGCTCCGCTGCCAGGAGCAGAGCTCGGGCCCCCGAACATGGGGGACTTGGAACGAGGGTGGATGCGACCCGTGGTCTCAGATTGATAAAAGCAATGCACGTTGTGTTTGTGCTCCTAAAGTCCGCTAATCCCACCAATTGGCTTGTTTCCTG